TTACGGGTCGAGGTGTCAAGGGGTCGAGGTGTAAAGGGGTCGAGATGTCATACACTCATGGCCAATTTTCGGAGAATTTTCCTTCATTGTTGAATTAGAAGACCCGATAATGACATCCTGGCTGCTGTCTTCTTGTGTAGATTCCCTGTCTAGACATTCTGCCGAAGAAGCGGGTAAAGTGGCGCCAGTTTGTAAGATATCGCTTTGCGTTTCCTTATTCGTCAAAGGAACTCTCGCCGTATTTGAAGAATAACCTTTTTCATTAATGATTTTTAATGTATCCATGATTCCATTATAACGCTTTTGAAAAGTATCTTGTGCTTTTTGTACCTCTGATATTTTGTCACTTTGCTTCTTTATCATTTTTTACAAATTATGGTCAGTGAATGAATGGTGTACAGTAAAGTGCTTTTTAAAACTAAAATTTCTTCGCTCATTTGTGAAAATTTGTTGTTAGAAAATACCACATGGCTGAAAAGTTGTCGCTTTATTTCTGAAATGTCCTCATAAATCACCTTCAGAAATTCATAGATGTTATAATCTGTTGTCTGTGGTGACTGTTGTAAATATTCCTTACTGCTTGAATTTAAATTATCACCACACTCTGTTTGACAAATTACATTTATCCCTTCTTCTTCCTCTGCATTTTTTACACACTTATTAGTTATTTGGAATAAATCCGATGACTCTGTGTGGACCTGATCTGGTTTCTCTACGTTAAAGTACTGAATGATCATATCACATACACATTGATTAAAGTCGTCAATGGTACAGTTTTCACTGGATATTTTTGTTTTTATCATTGATATTATATTTGGGAGATCTTCTTCTAAGAAACGTATGGTGCTGGGTCCGTTAATCAAACAAGACGAAGTCGTGTGGTACATATTCAATGTATAGTGTCCAGAATTATGAGAAGAAACCTTGTTGATGCTGGTTTCTACGTTGTTTGAAGCTTTATCATATACAATATTTTTTTCCAACGTTAATTCCAATTAGAGAGGTTTTGCAAAAATATGATTCAGGTAAAATTACGAAACAAGTTCATACACATACCGGCATTGAGTTTCAGATACACCACAAAATCTTTATGTATCAATTTAAATATTTCATTTTCCGATGCTGTAAATTTTTTCATTGATTTAGTTGATTAAGCTCGCAATTGCGATTTTCCCTGTCATTTTCAAAGTTTTTCTTTTGTGTTTGTTATTCCCATCACATTTTTAGAAACTTGATTTTTCATTTAGAATAATTGTTTTCACAAATTAGATTCCACTTCCATTTTAAGTCCACTACATTCCCTTTCTGCCTGCTTTTAGTTGTTTCCTTTCAATTCTCTTGCTTTGTTTAGATCAAAACATATTTTTCTATGATAATTTTGGTCCACTTCCGGTTTGTTCCGGGCGACATCGCTTAATATCAGCTGAATTATTCCATTTTTGTATAAATATGTTCAGAGAAGTATTGCCTTTATTAAATAATTTTTAAATCACTGTAAGGCACTTGATGTAAAATAATTTATTTTTTCATTTTGATAAACGTTAGCATTCACTACAAACAAATTATGATATGACATGATATAATTATGTATTGATTTGAAATGAATGTATGTGAAATTTATGTATATGTATGTCATAATATTATAATAAATAAAAAAATTATTAAGGCCGTACGAAAGGTTTCAAATGTTGATTTACTGTTTTTTCAATTCAGCTGAAGAACGTATTTAACCATATAAATGAGTGTTTTTTTACTTTGTGCTAAAAGAGGATGACCCCCCCCCCCTCTTTGAAGGTTTCAGAATTCAATTTGTTAAATTGTTTTTTGTTTACTTACAGTTTTAGACTTCATACCGTGTGTTTCACCAATGACTATCGGTTAAAGTTTGGCAGCGCCTTCCCATACTTCATGTTAGGTTTACGATCGTTCTAACGGGTATGGCTGCCCATTCTTATACCAACATAGCTCCAAGCCCCTGGATGGTTCTGGGTTGTAGCTGACGAGCTGAAATTCTAACCTGCAGCTCCACATGTGTTCTATTAAATTTAAGTCAGGTGAGCGAGCTTGCCAGTCCATGCGATCAAAGCCCCAAAAACTGATCCTGAGCTGGTGCTGTGACCCTTTGCTGACTTCTATCATGTCTCCTGGCGGGTGTACCATGTAGCCGGTATCTCTCCCAGGCTCTAGTGATGACGGTGTGATGAACACAAAGCGCCGTACCAACCTGGTGGACGATGTCCCATCTGCTGCACGATCAATACAGCCCTCCATAACTCTGCTTCTCTCAAATGCCGCATAAAGTTAGCATTCGCCATATCGAAGTTAGATGTATGAAATGTAAGCCACTGAATGACAATAAGCCGGTAATGTCGCCATATAACATTGTTCACCCAATCAAAACATGAAAATATTGGGGTGCATGCTTTCCATTCTACCTAGACGAGTTGTAACGGATTAGTCAACACGGATTAATGTCAGGGGACTATCTAAAAGCATTGCTGAGTCAGAATTTACAAAATATAGGAAATAAATCTGTTTTATACTTAAAAATTAGTTTATCATGCCTAGCAAAATTTGAGTAGTGTTTGAATGAGCAGAGTGATAAATTAATGTGTTAAAATTAAATTATGCGTGCAAGAGATAAAAAAGTCAAGAGTCGCTTTATATTCAAATAAGGATACGCAATGGTCATATAATCAAACATTTTATAAAGAAAATTGATAAGCAGTTTTTTTTATATTTGTTACGAGTATAGATTGCTTGGTGATGTAACCTATTGCCTTTAAGTATACAAGAGTACTATCTGAGTAATATTCACATACTTCTGCGTTATTCGTGTTACAAATCAAAATTAAATAACGAATAATGATGCAAAATTTAATAAGGATACAGGTTATATCAAAGAGCCCAGATCTTTGCTCAAAAGCTGCCATTATTAATTAAATCATAATGCCCCGGAAAAAAGTACATACTGACTTTATAGTGATGAAAATCGGTTTCGTCTTAATGGAATTGTAAATTAACAGGCAACGTCAAATGCTGGTAAGCATGTATGTGAAGATAACCAGATTTCAGTTAATATGATACAAGCGAAGCTGAAGTAATTTTGATTTTAAGTAGTCTTTAGGTTTTATGTTTCATTTCACGTTTGTCTGTGCAAGCTAAGCTGAAGTAATTTTAATTCTCAGTAGCCTAAACAATAGTCTAGAGGCTCACTTTACAATTGGTACCTCGATTTTTGCCTGCAATTTCTAAATCTTTAATTTTATCTGTTGAAACATTTTATGGCATTTTAAATGTATTATAATAATAATAATAAATGTAAAAGATAAAGAAAAAGAAAAACAAAGACCGCTTACCATTTCAATCATTTGTCTTTCGAAGTCATAAAGTTAAAATGATGTCTTACACTAAATTTTCCAGATCCTATCAAGTAATCATTAATCTCAAGTAATCATATCCTTAAGCAATCATTCTTCAGCCAAACAATTTTGGTACTGTTTGAAACATAATATGATACATTTGTACGTCTTATCTTCATTAAAACGTGATGCAATTTGCACTAGCCTTCAATATATGTACAATTATAAGCGGACTTAACATAAATATCATTTTAACAGTAGCTAATACTTATCCTCAAATAGAAATATATATTCTAAGATATAATTTCCCTTTATGAAATATAAGCGTAAAATCTGCGAGAAGACTGGTATAGCATGCTGCTTGTTCAACATTAGTGGTATATGCACGTTACCATTAATGCTCCTTAGCACCGCATATAAAAATGTTGTTATCACAATTAATTTGTATATGTATTCATACGGCGTGATCATATAACCTTGATTGTGACACTGACTAGGCAGGTCAAAGTAAACACTAAAACACAAAATAACAGTTAAAATACATTTTATTTCGAACATATTGCAAAATTATTTTCAGACATCATATTGCAGAATAAATAGAAGTTAAAATTCATGAAACGTGCAAGGAAAGACTAACAACGGAATGCGATGTTCATAAAACGCAGTCCCTAGTTTTCCTTGTTATTTTAGAAAATATTAAATTTTATTATATACTTATAAATGAAATATTGAGAAATATTGATGAAATAAAATGCGTATTTTCATTTTCCGTATTTTCACTGTAAAAATTTATTTTTCACTGCAGTGAAACATATTTTCCGTATTTTCACTGGTGTCTTGCCGGACTACTTTCTTTTAAATTCTGCCAGTACACAAAATTTAAGGGAAAGTCTTTCAAATTTTATCGCAAAAAAAGAGAAAAATGTATATAATAAACAGAAAATTCAAGTTTTTTCTATAAATACATGATTTATTTTCATCTTGTGGCATGAAAATTACCATATTTCACTCGTGGCTACCGCCACTCATGAAATATTTATTTTCATACCACTCGATGAAAATAAATCATGTATTTATAGAAAAAACTTGAATATCCTCTATGAAATATACTCATGGTAACTGTAAAATGATATCTTTAATAACCCTGCTGATGTTATATCGATATAATAGCAAAAACAGGAATATCTACACTGACGAAATAAGCTTGGTTTGCACTATAAAACATCCATGTATGTTAACCAAGCAGGAGCGAAATAATACAGCTATACCTTGAAAAAACTGCTTTCTTGGAAATAATAGTTTATTCTATATGAACATGTACACTAATTTTGTCATCGCTGAATTGTATTAATCAATGAAGACATAAATTAATTGTCAATGTCAAACATTTCATGAAACAAAATAGCTGGTACATTTTAAAATAAATCTACATTTTATTATAAAGTTGCTTATGAATCTTTTTCGGTATAAGGAAAAGTATTCTACGATCAATGACACATCATTGACAAAACATAAGAATATCAATAAGTCCATGTACATATATATATATATATATATATATATATATATATATATATATATATATATATATATATATATATATATATATATATATATATATATATAATCATGTCAACATATAAAAAAAAACAGAAAAAAAAAAACACTTCAACAAATTGCATAATTATCATACAGCTTGCCAAAAACAAAACCACATAAATAAATTTCAAGCTAATGTCTATCATTTCAATTGATATATAGTATTCGATCAGAATCAGTTATATCAACAAAATGATTTAAATAATCAAATGCTTAACATGCATGACACGCATGAACTTGAGTTCTACCAAAACGGAAAAAATGAAAATGCCATTGACTCAATTTGATTTACAACAGTATTAAGTATTCAATATACTCTTAACACCAGGATAGGATAAGTTTAGCAAAAAACTTTCGTTTGTATGTTTACATACAAATAAATCAACTGTCGAGCCGCCTATTTAATCATGTTTCGCTCGTTGAAAAATGTAGATATATTGATGTTTATGCCAACGATAAATTACAGGTAGGACAAACTGTCCTTACCTTAAACCATCGTCTCAAACATTCTGCATGGAAAACATGCATGCACGGGAGTTCTTTACCATCTTTAATTGATGCAAAACAGATTGAACATGTATGATCTAAGTGATCAACCTCATTTAAAGATGCGTATGAAACATCAGAAAGACTGTTAAATAACAGTAACATAGCTTTATTATAATCGTACTCCTTTTTCCGTTGCGAAATAAAAAGGGTTAGCAATGCAACATTATTTAAAATCAAATTACCGACTCGGAGAACCCACCATGCTCTAAATGCTGATAATGTGTACCTGCCATAAAAATGTAAAGGCAATAGAATTATGTAGCTGCATTCTTTAGCAATATGTGTATATTGTATGCAACGCTCTAATGCAGGTAAATATTCATCCGTATACCATGTCAAAGAAACAAAAACCAATTCAATTGCGAAAAACATCACATCTGATATTAGAATAATACTCCCGGATGAAAAAAACAAGAGCCATGTTTCTTGAAAAAGCTCACCTGCAAAGAAAGTAAATAATGCTAAAGGAATAACTACCATTACGAGAAAAACAATAAACACTCTTAAATAATACCAAATAGTAGGAACTGAACCTCGATTGCTTATCTCTAGAATTTTGCGACCAGGAATTACTATTGCTTTTTGTAATATGAAATAAAAGAATATCACGACAATTATCATAATAGCTTTTAAATCAAAATCAGTATCTGAAGAAGGGATGCCAGATTCAATTAATAATGTACAAAATGTAAAATGGGCAATATTGCTATCAATTTGTATATTTATCGCATCTATAAAAGTTGTTTCCAAGCTTACAAACCATACTGGTAGACAGGTAACAATTCTCTCTATGAAAATCAAGCAGTTTGATAAAGTTAGAATAAGAACAACACTTGTTGACCATCTTAGTATAAATTTACACACAGAGTTCAAAAATACAGGATCAGAAATGTTATTGCTGTCATACCAGACACGCTCTAGAATCAATGCTATCCCATAGTACAAAACTCCAAAAATAAAGAATATATCTCTTACACCTTTATTATTTGTAAAGTTTGTCATTATATTTGCTTCATTCCGATTCAGTTCAACTCTTTCCTGTAAAACAGCTATTTTTTGTTTTGATATTGGCCGAGCTTCTTCTTCGAGGGAGGCAAATTTTCTAACTTCTTCACGCAATGCAAGTTTATCACATGTTACATCTACGGCCTCCATTTTAGAAGTTCCTTTGGTCAAAATGACTGCCAAACGCACCTTGTAAATAAAGTAGCCAATTGTAGAAACAAGATTAGGAAGAATACCAAATATTGGCAATATAAAAGGTACGAGAAAGATAATAAAGATAAAACCGTAAAGTTTAAGCTGACTTGAATGTTTAATCTGCGTTTTATTGTACACATGCAGCCAATAGTAAATAGTTTCAAGCAATAGAACACCAAATGCTGGTACCCACCAGCAATCTTTTACATCTCCCCACATGATAACACTTGATATATGACAAACTTCATTTGCCTCGTTTTGAATTGACCAATAAAACGATTCTTCTATCACTGCAACTGTAAGTTCTAAGAATATCAATATGTAGAAGATGATCAAAGTTTTGATGTTGAAAATCCAAGCACGAGCCATTGTATATCCCACTGTAAAGACAACAAACATTTACTTTTAATCTTATTCTTAATTGTTTTATCTAATTCATTGCATTTCACTGTGTTAAATTGTATTATATTGACAAACATCTAGAATCAAGCTTTGAAATCATAGATTTATACTGTTTTAATTTTTTTTATACTTTATTTAGTTTTATAAGATACAAAATGAATGATTTTACAAAACTTCTAACATTTACTTTAAATAAAATAACCATAATACACATATATATTTATTGGAACATTTGTACTAATTTAAATACTGCTGCTAAATTTAAATCTAATGTGAACGGAAATTACCGAAGTATCTGACTAGTAAACAAGGTATCCATAAAATGCTGCTTTCCGAATAAGGGCCGAGTAAAAACCAGAAATGTATTGCGATCAGCAGAGGCAATCGTGCAAGTATTTGAAGTCCGTATCTCACATTTGTAGAGGAATGCATGATGAACTCCTGTAATTTGTTTCCTTGGATACATCCATTGTAAATAACATAGTTCACCAATTGGTTTGCTGGAGTCTGTAACCGAATGTTTGCTCTGAGTACAGCCTCCATTTTTCTGTAACATTTATATGGTATGAAATAAATAATGTCCAAAATCTTTACTCATACTCCGATTTTTTAACAACGTGGGTTGACCCAAAAGTTCGGATAAAAATTCCATTATGAAAAGTACATTGTATAACGAACCATTTTTTTTTAGATAACTTTTATATTTGCTATCGGGAAATCTACTCACGATAAAAAGGCTGTTATTTAAAAAATCGAAACTTTTACTCTCTTAAACGACGGAAGATAAAAAAAGCTATCCATGTCTCTTTAAATCAAACGAGATTGACACCGACAATCAAACCACTAAAAAGATGTTTCCATGAAAAATGCAGCTAAAGCAGTATATTTCAGAACACCGAAATTTTGAGTGGAATAGATTGTACCTAAAAGGAATATGTGTGGAACTTTCGGTAAGTTATACATCTAATAAGTTTTTAAATTATTTACACCGTCATGAATATAGCATGAAACAAAATCACTGATTTTCATGTAAAAGCAAGAACATTTCAAGCATTTCATGTAATCATTTAAAAACCACCCCCCCCCCCAATTTGATCAGTGATTTTACAAAATTCTCTAGCTTTCCCGGGGTAAACCCCCCCTTTTCCGTCTTTTCTTAAATATTAACTTATTCAACTTTAAACAAAGGTTGTTATTTTTAATTTTGCATAAAGGATCCCAGTTAGGAAAAGGGGGCAAACCGATATCTTTGAATAGTTCTTCTATTTCTCCCTTTTTATAGAAAAAATTTAAAAAGAGTAATGTTTTTTAAAAAATAAAAATTTACAATTGTCAAAAATTTAAATGCAAAAAGGTTGTTAGAATATCTGTCTCTCTTTATTAAATGCCCCAGTTTTATAAATTGTTTTTTTTAAAAATCTTATCAGTTCTGAATTAAACAATTTGATTGTTTGGGCTTTTTTGTTTTGTGTGAAAACAATTGCCCTTCCCCTTTAAAAATTAACCAATACATGGGTAGCAAATTTTCATTTTAAATCTGTTCGATTGTAAATGTTTTGATTTCCATTTCTTGCTAATTTGAAATCTTACGCCAGAGTTTTAAATCTATTGATCAAAATATTATAAAAATACAAATAGAGAAAAACTTGGGCTTAGATTGATTTGTCTTGTTTGTAATATTAATATAATTATAGAAACATATGAAAATCTCTTGCGACTTACAAATATTTTCTACTAAATCTTCTTTTCAAATTGTTGTGATTTTGATATCATGTACCTTAGCATAATTTATTGGCTGTATACATACAAATATTGAGACAAAAATATATATCAATCATTGCAACTATTTTCAGTGACTTACTTTATATCATTCGACATCTGAAGAATCATATCCGACCGTATTAAAGTTTCTCAAAAAAACCTTAATCTAAATCAATAAAAACATACCGTACTCCCTATCAATTAACACAAGACAACGGTTTCGTGTGTGTAGTTATTTCGTTTAATTATTCATATCCAATCGTTTATTACCGTATATAAAATAAAGTTTCTCAAAAAGCCTTAATTAATATCAATAAAAACATACCGTACTCCCAGACAACGGTTTCGTGTGTGTTGCTATTGCGTTTTATTATTTATGTTGGGATTCCATACTTTCCATTTGAAGATCTTATATCTTATCAACCATGATTACGTGTATTTAAAACATAGATATACTCATATAAATATAGTGATGAATAAAAAATGTAAAGGTGCTCGCCCATATATATCAATGTCATCGAACTACGACAGAATTAACTTCAGATTAAACTATAATAATAGCATTTTCTTTTATTTCGGGTACTGCTTATTTCTGTTCCAAACTCCTAGAAATCGCCTTAATTTCCGAGGATTTGTCTCAACTAATGAATATCGACTCTTGGTAAAATCTGTCAAACGTATAAATATTTATAAAGAAAGACAACTTATTTCGCAAAGTCGAGTTCTTAATGTCAATGTCACTGTAATAGGTAATATGTTCAGGTTCATAAGTTATTCCCTTTAAACAAATTTGGAATCGATTCGATTCTAGTTTATTGTATAAAGTAGTTCATTATCAAAATATGATACCATATTACAAGGACAGATAATCCGTTATAAGAACACACGTTTGTAACGTCGCTTTTCATTGGGTAATCGTGACGTTTATATAGTCTTATATACACGGCTGCTGTCGATTTCTGAAGAAATCTCACTTTTCTCACAAAAAATGATGCATGTTGTATTATAAATTCGTTATAAATATTTCTGACAGGTTATATGGCCGTATATAAACGGTTGTTTGCAATATAACTATCTCCTAGCGGCTAGGGTTATATTTACAAACAATCGTTTATATAGGGCCATATAGCCTGTCAAAAATGTTTATAACTAATAATATAAACGTCACGATTATCCAATGAAAAGCGACGTTACAGACGTGCAGTATTATAAAATACTTTATAATACTACACGTTTGTTACGTCGCTTTTCATTGGATAATCGTGACGTTTATATAATTTTATATACACGGCTGCTGTTGATTCAAGAAATAATCTTACTTTTTTCTCTAAAAAATGATGCTTGCTGTATTATGAATTCGTTATAAAGATTGTTGGCAGGTTATATGACCGTATATAAACGGCTGTTTACGATATAACCCTCGCCTAGCGACTCGACTAACTAATATTATAAACGTCACGATTAGCCATTTGTATACATCGAGTTAGTTGTGGCAAGATGTTTTTCATTTTTGTGATATTATCTCCTCTAAATAATCACTATATATATATACATGTAGTATCATATTTGAAATATGAAATATATACATTTCAAATATTGATTGATATATCGGTTACAGTTTTAGCAAATCACAAAGTTATTGGAAAAATGATAATGATCTATTTTTATACCTTAGCTTTCATATACATGTGTAGTGAATATTTACGACTTATTTCGAAATTCATTGAAATACTTGATTTATAACGTATGCAACGATCTCCTCGCGAGCTTCAAAATATTTTAAATCTTGTTCACTATTTACACGTAAAACACAGATACGTAACTTACGGAGAAACCAAACAAGACCTTAGATTTGACCTAGCTACCATAAACAAAAGTGTCATATTCGTAATGGAGGTTTAAAGGCACATTTTGCCTCAAAAAAGAAATAAATACTTCCTTCTGTTAAAAGGGCAAGTATGATTTTTATAATGTTTATGTAATGGTTTAAAAGCATGTTAGATGCATATCACCTGAAGAAAGTAGAGCTGAATGTGAAATTATAGGTCATAAAAGTAGCACAATGTAAGCAAAGTAGTATTTTGTCTTCCATATAAAATACTAAATCACTATAATTGTACTTATTGCCAAAAAGTAACAAAAGAAAATCGATGACATATTGAGTAACATTTCGGACAAAAAAATCTGACATCAAAAATTAAAAGCTTTCGAGAAATTAAGATAAAAAGTATCTCTGAGGCATGATGAGCCTTTAAAAAAAATCCGAAAAATTACATCATAACCAATAAATATTGGAACATATTTAACGATATACTAGTTCATTATACTATTTCATTTTTAACTTTCTCAAAATATTCACTTAATTAACACAGAAAACATAGAAGATGAAGTAAAAGAAGAAGAAGAAGACGAAGAAGAAGGAGAAGAAGAAGAACAACAACAACACCAAGAACAACAACATTGTTTATTCATCTATTAAACTACAAGTTTCTCGTGGTTGAGATATATACAAGGATATATATAATTGGTTGATTGAAAAGTACATGACAACAATAAAAAGCATGATGGCTAATATACACAGTAATTTTTTTAATTGATTTGTTTAACAGCGTAGGTAAAACGACCCGTTTGCATATTATATGCAAAAACGTGCCTTATCGTTGTTATGGAGCGGCACGTATAATAATGTGATCAATGAATTAACTTTCATTCATGGGAAAACATATCAAAACCATGAAAACTTATTTATACTCGTAAACAATCATTATATAAAAACATAATAAATATGTTGACCCATCAAAGTCACCATTCGCAACTTTTCGGCCCTTTCCGTCAGTCATCGGATAAGGGCCTCGAACACAACAGTAAGAATACATAAAACGAATACAATATTTCGGTATAGGAAACTAAACATGTAAACAAATAGTGCTTTAATGCTTAATGTCGTTGACTAGTGAAGGAAGACCTTAATTAAGTAAATTTATATATATATAAATGACATAAATTCATATGTTTTTATGATTCTAATGGCCATTTTTAAATTGGTTATGATTGTCAGACATATTTTCAATCATAATTTTACCGAAATAGATCTTATTTCCCTATTTATGTCAAATATATACATTAGTTATACATTATCAGCGGATTACACGCTCTGTGTTTGTGTACATCTAAAACCACGTGGTAGAACTATTTTCAATCCGTATTATGTCCGGGGTTATTATACATAATAGCCGAGGACGTTCCGATTGCAAACTAACAACACAATAACGCCGGTTTCATCATAATAACGCAGAATGAAATTTACCGTAAAATACTGTATAAGTACGTATTTTGGCGGGGGTTTATATTTGGCTATATTGGCGGTCAGGGTCAGTAGCGCCAATTCAAAACAGCGCCAATTTAAAGCACCGCCATTTTAGATCATCGCCATTATTCTTTGAAAGGTAGACAACTCATGGTAAAATAGCTTTGGTTTGTCCGAGTAATCTCCCTTGATTATTTGTAATAAAAATAAACATTACAAGTAAGCTGAAAAGAATTTGTTTATTTTTAAGTCTTGGTACGAAACTCATTTAAAGGAATAGGAATGGATGGATTGATGTCTGTCTAATAAAAATATTCATCATTTAAAAAGAGGTACCATGACAGTTTTTCTGTTGAAATCAATCCTATAAGTGAGAAATTCGTGTTTTAAGACACTATTTTTTACTTGAGAAATAAGTTCATGGGCGCCGCCATTTTGGCGTTCTGTCATTCTCGCGAGACAGACGAGACCGAGATTGTGACGTGTTACACCCACTTCCGGTAAAGGTGTACCCGCTGGTACAACTGAAATATATCTTGATGAAGAACTTATTAATCTTATTACTTACATTATATATTATTTATGAAAACATCATATGAAACTGAATTGCTTTAATTAATTAATTGAAGGCGCCGCGACATTAATTATCATTTGTCCAATTTTCAAGCTTGCTGATGATCCCACCACATGATTTAAGCAATGACTGCTAAATTTTCAAAGATAAACCATCAATTTAATTTGGGTACTGTGAGAAACTTCTTCAAATTGACGATATATCCTTTTATTTTGTACTTAATTTTCGCTAGACAAGCTGTCCGAATAGGGTACATCGTCGGTCATGTATCTTTTTTTTCAGCGTAAAATATCAACTAAATCCAATATGCAGCGATCTGCTGAGGACGCGATTTTCAGCCATTGACGCTAAAAATGAGAATGGCACAGCAAAATCGGCAGCCAGACTAATATCGTATGAAAACAAAACTGTCCGTTAGGGTATTAAGGCTCCCAGTCAAAACTGGTACCAACAGCAACAGGTTGCCCATTCCCCTGTAATTACGCATATTCTCGGGTTTATCCAGTTCCTTATAGCTTTTTTCCACGTTATCTACTTAAACCCAATTCCTTTCCCACACAGATACGCATTTCTACTACCGTAAATTTAAGCCAATGAAACAAAACATCGTTAATATACTTATTATTAAAAATGATTATTGGTAACTGAAAAAAATGTGTGCTATTTTATGACATGCTGTAATTTACAGTATAATTTGATAGGTGTGGAACTTAATTTCCCCTAAGGTCATTCAGTTCACTGATTAAGCGTAAAATAATAGATGTCTATTTCGTCATTAGAATATTTAACAAGGGTGATTAACCAATCAGGGCAACATTGTGCATGATCAAAAGGTTTGTCGGCACAGAGGCATACAAGGAGCAATAAAAATCGTCAGTACACAGTGTGACAGGAACATTTGGTGCAAATTAGGAACAATTAAAATGGACAATGCACAGTATTAGACATAAGTAGTAAGAACCAGCAATTGTGTGAATAAATTATGCAAATTAGATTTTTGAGCAGCCAATAAAAATGTTTTGCCTGCAGTTAATATGAGGCTACGATAACGATGCGCAGCTTCATACGTTGACAGACATGTTAACAATTTACTTTTCAAAAGAATTGCTTATATTTTTGAAATGTCTACATCAATTATAACATATGTTCACACCTTTTAATTTGAAAGTCAGAATCAAACTGCAAAAACTTAATTACATGTACTATTAAGAACACGTTTTAGAAGGATTTTAATAATAATGGTAATTATCGCCGTTCAATAATTAACAGCCAATTATTCGTTGGTGCGTTTGTTAATTTAATTGCATTATTTGATTGTGAAACTTTGTTAAATAATAAAATGTGTTTTTATTAAATCTCTGAAATATTGTTTAATTACATTAAGATGAGACTTTAATGAACATAGCATTGTTTGGAGTAACAGGCATCACTGGCCTGAAGTGGTG